AAAAAAAAAAAAAAAAAAAAAAAAAAAAAAAAAAAAAAAAAAAAAAAAAAAAAAAAAAAAAAAAAAAAAAAAAAACACATAAAAAAAACTTATATATATATATATATATATATATAAATATAATAATAATAATATAATAATAATTGAAAAAACGATGAATCGGTCTTCAAAATTTGGTACACCATGGTCCACTGTCAAATCTGTGGCTCGTCCAACTAGAAGACTTTTTCAAAATTCTGGTGCTAGTCGTCGTGGAAGTGTAGTTGGACTTTTTTCTCATCTTATCTCAAAAACGAATAACGTGACAAATAGATCTAGTAGGATTGAATTTCCTTTTTACTTTAACCGATCAAGAAAACCTTCGAATAGCCGTTGAAGAACTTGCAAAACAACCAACTCAACTTCCACAAATTGATCAAGTACCTGATGTCTCTCCGAATGACCTCTCTCAACATGGAAATAATAATTCTTCTCTTAGAAAAAAAGGAAATAAAAAATTTTTAATTAGTTTTAATAATAATAGTAATAAAACTTCTTCAAATAATCAAAAGAAACAAAAATCTTCTACTCCATCTGTAAGCCTAATTTATTTCTCTCTAATCTTGCAATAATCTTATAATAATCTTATAATAATCTTATAATAATCTTATATTTTTTTTTAAAAAAAAAAGGTATTTATAATAACAATTGAAGATCGAAGTCAATTATTAAGTATACGTAGACAAATTTCTGACTTCATAGAATTTGATCAGCAGGTATGATAATTTTAATGTAACATTTATTATTTATTACAACATTTTCATTACATTTATTATGATACATTTTTTACTTTTTATCTAATTGGTTATCTTTTTTTTTTTTTTTTTTTTTTTTTTTTTTTAGCTTCGTCATGAATTTCCAAAATCTAGACCTACCTTACCTTCATTAGATGATCGAAGAAAATCATTTTTATTACCTCGACATTTATTTACTCGTAAATCTACTGCTGAAAAACTTGAAAGTTATTTAAGAAAAGTTTTAAGTGATTCACATTTAAAATCTTCAGCTGTTTTACGTGATTTCTTAAGTGTTAAATCTGAAAAAGATACTATTAGATGGAAAAAAACTTCAAATTCAAATAGTATTATAGATAATAGATCTGTAACAAATGTAGTATTAAAACCTCATAAACCTCATAAACCTTCTATAGATGATTACGATTTAATAAAAGTTCTTGGTAGAGGTTGTATGGGAAAGGTAATTATATACTAATAATACCTTTTTTTTATTATAACGTATATAATATTTATATTTATTTTTATTTATTTTTTTGTTTTTTTAGGTAATATTATCAAGAGAAAAATCTACAAATAGATTATATGCTGTCAAAGTTATTTCCAAAGAGTGGGTGGTTTTTCGGCAAGAGGTTGATCATACGAGAACTGAACGAGATATTCTTGCGATTGCTTCCAGAACTTCTCATCCTTTCCTTATTAGATTACGTGAATCTTTTCATGATAGTAATCAATTATTTCTTGTATTGGATTATTATCCTGGTGGTGATATTGCTACTCAATTAGCTAAATGGCATAGATTTGATGACGCTAGATGTCTTTTTTATGCCGCTGAAATTGTTCTTGGTATAGAAGAATTACATCGTTTGGGTATTGTGTATCGGTTCGTATCACCTTTTTCGACCTTATCCTTATTCGGTTTTATTAGATTACCATATTTTCAAATTCTCACGTATCATGCTCACGTGACCTGTTTTATATTATTAGTGATTTGAAACCTGAAAATATTCTTATCGGTCGTGATGGACATATTGTTCTCACTGACTTTGGTTTATCAAAACAATTTAATCATTCGTGGCAAAAGACTAACACTTTTTGTGGTACCGCTGAATACTTGGTATGTTTATTTTTTTATTAAATATAAATTTTAAATATAAATACAAATATATCAATTTACTCATATTCATATATATATATATATATATATATATAATATATATATTTAGGCTCCTGAAATAATACGAGCAGAATATTATACTTTTGCGGTAGATTGGTGGAGTTTAGGAACTTTGATTTATGAAATGATGTTTGGTATAGTAAGTATCAATAAAATGTTTTTTTTTCGGGCGAAATTTCAATTTGCAGATCAAATTAGACAAAACTAGTTTCAGAGGATTTCTAAAAATTCAATTCCTCTTGGCGAAACGTTACGTTTCGAGATTTGAAAATTGTTTCGTTTCAAATATTAATTAATTTAATATTAATTGATTTAATATTAACTGATTTCAAATATTTATTTATCACATTTAAAGACTCCATTTTGGGCAGATGACCAGAATAGAATGTATCAACGCGTATTAGAAGACGAATTGGAATTTCCAGAAGATATAATGTATGATGCAATAAGTTTATTACGAGGTGTAAGTTTCTTTGTCTTTTTTCTTTTTCAAAGTTTTGAACTCGTAAAATTTCAATTTTTACTAACCTTATATACATTATCCACTTTATATACATTACTTTAATTACTTTAATTACTTTAATAGTTATTACAACGTGATCCTAGTCAACGGCTGGGATGTGGTCCAACGGGTTCGTTGGAAATTAAATCTCATCCATATTTTGATTATGTTGATTGGGACGATGTTTTAAACAAAAGAATATGTGCCCCTTATATTCCAACTATCGAACATGAGATGGATCTTAGAAATTTTGATGATGTATTTGTTACAATGTCTCCAAAATTATCCTTACCGAAACGTGATGTTCCTGTCGAAATGCAACAATGCTTTACAGGATATTCCTTCTCGGAAAATTACATGGATTCAAGATCTGTAAATACATTACGTGCTAGTAGAAGTGTTAATCGTTCTCTTGCTGATGTTACTTCTTTACATAGAACTAATTCTTCCGCTACTCTTGGATGCGAACGTTATGATCGTACTGACCAAGATTGGAATAATAGTAGTTATGACTTAGATCAATATATCTCTAAATGTCCGACTATTATGGTTGGTGATACTAAATATCGTAACCATCTTTATCTAAACAAAAGGATTTCTCAATTCTTGTTGGATGACTCTCATTTAAATTTGGCCGATAATTCTTCTTCTTCCTCTTCAACAGTTGAACGTCAAACTGACGTATATCCTAATTCATGATATTAACTATTCCTAATCTTAGGATTATTCCTAATCTTAGGATTGTCACTCTTTATGAGGACTTTTATGAGGACTTTTATGGAACAATCGAGTTTAAACATCAGGACATGTTTATTCTCTTAAATAAAAACAATGTATTTTATTTAGGGCTTATTTTTCTTTTCTTTTTTATTTTTCTTTTTGATCGTGTGGGCTCTAGGATTTTTTATTTAGGATTCAGTGTTTTTTTACTTTTTTTACTTTTTTTTTTAATTACACTATCTGTAAAATTTTCTGGCGCCTGTATTTTGTTTATCGTATTGTACATGATGTATTTTAATGCGAACAACTTTTGTAAATATAATGGATCGTTTTCAATTTGTCAGAATTTTAACAAATTATTTTCAATTTTTTACACCGATCTATTAGATTATACATTTTTTTTTAAAAAAATATTTATAATAATATTTTTATTCATAGATGAAATGGCCCTAAAAAAAAAAACACCAAAAAAAAAAAAAAAAAAAAGCGAAAAAGGGAAAAAATCAAAATTTCTATAGATAGAATTATTACTTTTTCTTTAATTTTTAAAGAACATTAACAAAGTTAATAAAAATTTCACTAAAAATGTCGAAAAATTTTCTTTTTTTCAAACTTAAGAATATCATTAAGAAAATATGCATACATGTAAAAAAATGATTTTTTTTTATTTTTAGTTGTTTGAGGATTTTAATTATTTTTAGCCAAGTTCATTTGTAGATAATTTATTTGCCTAGGGAAGGCTGAAATGCATAAAATCCCGATTATATAATCTGAATGAAGATATTAGATGATTTGCTATTAGAGTTAGGCGTTAAGTATTTATTTACGTACGTACGTACTTACATACAGTACGTACGTACATACCTTAAGTACCATTAACTTCCGACTTTAATGATTTAGATGTTTTTAAATGGTTCATTCATAAGTAAAATGATTAGATACACAGCATCAAACAAATCAAAGTTGTGAAACAATGGACTTACTACTCCGACATGAGAAAAAAAAAATTTTTTTTGAGTATTTGAACAAAATCTAAAAAAGGTAATATAAAAAAAAAATCTTTCAGTTTTACATATGTGGTTAATCTTCATTTTTTTTTTAAAAAAAAAATTTCAACGCCTAACTTAACCACTTAAATGAAACTGCCAAGAAAAAAAAATTTTTTTTTCTCTAATCATGACGGAACGAATAACGGAATAACGGGAACTAACCTAATGGTAAAATTTTCTACCCATATATTTTATAAGTAATTTTCTAAAAATATTTTTTTTTTTTCAAAATAAAATTTACTGCATTTTTACCAAATTAAATTTTTATTAACACTAATTTTAATTGTAATAATTACCAAAAACATGCGTAATTATATCGGTATATCTTTGTTAATACAGTAATAAACCAACTTCTTAAACACTACATAGGCGTGTTACTTAGTTATCTTTACTATTGGTACATTATTATACATAATATACGTACATACGTATGTATGTATGTATGTACATGTATACGTATTATACGTATTATACATATTATACATGTATTACAATAAGACTTATAAGTCATATCAGATATTGGAGATCAAACATATATGTACTACGTATTATACGCAGCGATATGGATTTTTCCATATACACTTCCTTATTAGAGATTATAATAAAGAAAAAAGTATGCAAATTATATAAAGTTTTTATAAATTAGATATTGTGTATTTGGAGAAAATTATATACTATGTGTATTTACAGTATAAAGAGTATATACAATATATATATATATATTTAATATTTAATAGTAATAAAATTTTTTTTGTAATTAAAAAAAAAATTTGTTTTTATTATACAGTACAATATGCTGTATACGCATTTTTAATACAAAAAAATAAAGTTAAATAAAATTATTAATTTAATACTGTAATAAGTATTTATTAGGCTATTGTACTAAAATTAGTACAAAAAAAGTTATTTTAAACTAATTATTAATCAAATTTTGATAAAATATATTTAAATATAAGGATTATTTTTTGCAAAATTTTAACAATACCTAATAATAAAAATTTGTATAAATTAATTTTAATTTTTTTTAAAATTTTGTTATATTAAATTTAATATAGTATAAAACTTCAGTTAATATAAAATGCACCTATGGTATTCAACACTATATATAATTGTTTTTAGTAAAATTTAGTGTTAGGGTTAGAAATTAGAGAATTATTGTTTTTTTTATATAATATATATAGAGCTACTATAAGGGCCTGATCTCAGTTCTCGTGAGGTTTTTGGGGTCCTGAACATTTTTACTTAGAGTACCCGATCCTGTTTACTTTGTACATTTTTGAGAAATAGAGACCTATGGTGTTGAACACCATAGGTGCATTTTAGTAGACCTGTAAAACTTTATAAAAAATCAATAAATTTTAATTATTTTGAATTAATAAAAATAAATAATAATTTTTTAAAGAATATTTTTATATATTTTTGGCTAGAAATATTTAGCTTATATATTTCTAACTTAAAACTATGCCTAATTATATAACTTTGATTAAAGTTAGATTATATAGAGTTAGAGTGAAGGCAAGTATTATAAATAAAATTGTTTTTTTAATATTTTAAATTAGTTTTTTAAAGGTTATGGTAGGTAATAGTTAGTTGCAGGGGTTCAATGATTAGCCCTGACCCCAAGTGCATGGGTCAAGCTATGATGTAAAGTTACCAAAGTCTGGGTGAATACATGGGTAGGAAAGAGGCAGCTGAGGCCTGGGTTATATAATATCTACATTACACCTTGATATATAACGATATTGTAGCCAACATCAGTGAGGTAACTGGGTTGGGCGTCCTATAGGGAAAGCCAGCCTATTGTCTGATGAAAACTGTCAAGTGGTTCATAAACTGAGTCTTGATAAGCCTGGCCAATCTTCAGTATATGTTACTAATAAAAAAATAAAAAAAAATTAGTTTTTTAAAATAAGTTTAGATAGCTATTTTTTGTATTTTTTACTTTTTTTAATTTTTTACTTTATTTGTTATTATTTTTTTCTTGCCAAATTAATTTGAAATAATTATTCTTTGTGTTATTTTTGTGCTATACAAAAATAGTTATTATATGATTTATTTGTATTTTTTTTTTTTTTTTTTTTAATCTTCACAAGTTTTGCCATGGCTTGCTTTTTATTAAAATGTGTATAAGAACTATATACATTTAATTTATAGAACTCAAAGCATACAACCTGTTGTACCAGTTTGCAGACAAACTAGAATTATCTTATCAAAAAATCTATAAAAAACCTATAACTAAAAAGGAGCTATGAAAGGGAGAATAAGAGAAATGAACGAAATATAAAAATAAAAAAAACCCCCAAAAAAGAAAAAACAAAAAAACATTTTATAGAAAAAAGATAACAATTAGAGAGGAATTTCACCTCTTTATATAACCAAAATACACTATTATAACCTGTGCAAGGCTAAAAAATGATATAACAAATGCAACAGTTGTATATCTCTATTGTAAAGCCTTAACATATATTTTCCTTTCCGACTA